GTAAGCCGGATGTTTCAAAATCTTTTCTCTTCTCTTCTCTTCTCTGCTCTTCTCACTCTTCCAATTTTATTAAGATAACCACATATTGACCGATATATTCGGTATAAATTCTGCGGGAATTTCGAAAATTTTTATATTAAGAAGACCGGTATGTGGTGGCTAGAACAGTTATGGTTTTGATTTGACAATTTTTGGACTCGAGATGGCTTACCTCAAAGATACTATTTGCGCAAAGTTTCATCTGAATATATTCATTTGTACATAATTTGTATACTGAAAAGTGAAAAAATCAGATGGAATTTAAAATTGTGTTATATGGGAAGTAGGCGTAGTTATAGTAAGATTGCGCTAATTTACAGAAAGTATCATAGGATCGTCAAGATAATGTTATGTATCAAATTTAGTTGAAATAGGTCGAGTAGGTCCGCAGATATGTAATGTCATTTAAATGTGGTAGTTGTAGTTTTTAACAAAACCGTTATATAGAGAGAGGAGAGGGTTCATTTCATTTTCGATTTCTTAAGCGAATTTGTCAAGGAACACGTGTACCAAGCTTCATTGAGATATCTTATTATCAACTGTGATTTAATAATAAGTAATATTTACAGATGAGTCAAAAGGGTTTACTGAAGTCAGTTGAAATGCTTGACGACAAAACTAACCATGATTGCATACTGCGAGATATTGTAATTTTAAATTGGCCATCACAACTACCAGACGCCAATCCAATGGAGAATACCAAACTATTAAGAAAACATTTAACGTCAACAAAATATTTCATTCGGCTCCTCCAACATATCTGGAGGTCGCTTCCTATGAAATATGCGGAAAATTTATTTGCAATTTGCAATCAAAGATATCAGGCTATATTAGACAATAGGGAGATTGGAGCAATCAAAAATAAGTAAAGATTACAAGAAATATCTTGCCGTTTTACGACGGACCACGGAGAGAAGTGAGAGCTGTGTTTACAAACGGAATGGACGTACTTAATTAAAATGTCATTTGACATTAACTCATGTGAAAAATCTGGGAAACATTGATAAAGCTTCAAATTACAGCCGACTTATTATTGTCTATTAACCTTTGCTCGCCCATTTAAAATATTTAACTATAAAAGATATATATAATGTATATAAATGTACATACTTATGAAATATAAATATTTAATTACAAGATATATACTATATACATGAATGCACATATGTACTTGTATTTGTATGTATGATAGTCAGTCGCGTCTGCTCATTTGAATGGGACTCCTCTAAAGTGGAACGTCGGACCTTTGGCAATAAATATCAAAATGATTCGTTATTTTTATGGCATCAAAGTCATAATCATTGTGGGCATCATAATTCAAATGGAAATTTTTGTGGAGGTATTTGAGTATATTTAAAAGCATATAAGCCTGTGTGTATAAAATGTTAATAATACATTTTTGCACTGGTTAATGTCTACAGATAATTATTGTTAAGCTAACCTATTTGGATTTCGCAAAATTTAATCGGTGGGAAAAATAACACCTTACACACTTACGAGTAATTTTTCGCTATTAAAATAACAGTTATTTTCATATACTCTCCTAATGCTATAGACTTTACTATATATGTACATATATCATTTATTTTTATACATGGTTGTTAGCATCAAATTTAGTTTGAACACCTTCTAAGAATTTTTTTTTCAGATTTAATGGTTGTAGATTAAGCTAAAGAAACGTTAATACCTAATTGAGTGTATAAAAAAAAACTCCGCTTGAAACAAACAACACTGTTCAGAACAAATATAGTAAATGTATGGCTTTATCTATAACTATCTGCACTACTGTCTATTACAGGCATAAGCGAGGAGTGACGTTCTGTGCTCAAATTACTAGAGCACTAAGCCTATAAAACATGTAGAGCATCACCTATGATTTCGCTTGGGCGGAAGAAACTCGGATAGAAGGATAAAATAATTTTTGATTAATAAAGATTACTATACGTTATCGTATTGCATTGTTCATTTGTACGCTTTCCGTCATTTCAGGAAGCTGCATATTCAAATTTTCTATATTCTTTAGATCAATAAATTGAGGAATTATCACTCCCAAAAAATAATATGATATTAAGACAGATCAATTCCTTAAAAATAACTGATATTAAAATCTAAAATTATTACGCCAATTATTCTACAAATTACTCCTTCTATGCTTGAGTAGCTTTTACAATTCCATGTTAAAAGTTTCTCGCAACGAAACTATTTCGAGATTCCTGGCCAAATCAATAATTCAAAATAAATTTAGATTTTTCTACAGTGACAAAAGCCAGAAAAGCTGTAGTAGTAAATACATGTACTTAACATTAAGTTTATTATACCCTGAACATATAGTTTGCCACGATGTTTGTAACATGTATATACATATATAATATAAATGATCAGCGCGACGAGCTGAGTCGATTTAGCCTTATCCGTCTGTCCGTCTGAATATACGCGAAATAGTGTCTAAGTTTTTTCCCTTCTATACCAAGAAGCTGCTCATTTGTCGGACCCACCGCAACAAACTGAACGATCGGAATCAAGTGCTTGTAAGGAAAACTTTTTCATTTGACAAGGTATCTTTAAGAAATTTGGCAGAGATTACTATCCAAAGCATTGCTACAAACTTAGAAGAAATTGTTTAGATCGGAATATTGTAGCATATAACTGCCGTACGATCGATCAAACTCAAGTCCTTGTATGGAAAACTATTTTATGTGTCAAGATATTTTCAGGAAATTTGGCGAAATTATTATCCAAGGCATTGCTACAATTTCCGAACATATTGTTCAGATCGCACCTCTATAGCTTATAGCTACCATCCAACCTGACTATCGAAACCAGAATAAAGATATTTGTATACCCTTTTATGCTATAAAAATATAATTTTATATAATTTTTTCTTGTTTTAGTAAACATTTGAACAAATTGACTATTTTAACCATCGCACTAGCTGAATTCCTTAAGTATCATATGTGCACTACATGTACCATATAGTGGTAATATGTCTATATGTATATTTTGTCAATTAATTATAAAGGTGTACAAGAATGGAAATATTTTCAAATTGGATTATAATATTTATAGAATTAGGGTCTTGAAGGTAGAAAAATATTTATTTTATTATTAGAATTAGAGTAAAAAAAAAATATTTTACCACTAAGGCCTTGCGTTAGTTTTCACACTATGGTGGCTTAGAAGTATTAACGCATCCCTAAAATTTAGAGCGATGTGTAATTGCCCCTTCCATGTTGAAGTTATTTTTAAACTTGTTGAATGCCTTGCAATGCCTTGGGATTGATCACAAATCACGCGCCGACGTTCGGCTTATTCGGCTTTGTTTCATGTTCTCTAATTAAGCAATAAAGTGCATGTTATTTTGGCACGTTAAGCTTGTGATCCCTTTGGTGGAATACGAAACTAAAAATTACAGGACAAACAGAGTGAAGGTCACGGTTTAAAACAACAGAAAGCTGTTCACAAGATCTAAGTGATTTAATATATGCTTAAAATCGGTTACATTATTTCAACACAAATTTCTCTGTTAAAAATCGAAGTTATACACATGTGTTGAAAAAAATTATAAAATAAAAGTATGTATGCATGTATTATAGATGTTCCGTATGATTGTATTTGTTTTGTGCAGTAAAAATATACAAATTTATTGCTTGCAAACAATTACAAATGTATACATACATACATACATACATACAGTGGTACATAAATAAAAATGGAGAAGCGCACTGAAAAGGTAAATTTGCATTTTATATTACTTATATGTGTATGTTTGGCGAGTAAGTGTTCTTGAGCACATGCACATATGTATGTCTCTATCTACCAGGCGGGTGTCACTTGCTTATTGAATTAATTAGATCAGACAGAAGAAGCTGGAAAGCCAATAATTCCTTCTTTATTAACTGGAATTGAATAAAATTTAATGCGAATTCGGTGTGTAAACAATAAGGAATCGAGAACGTGACATTTGCTGTGGAATCTGCTGGCGATGGCGACAGCGGCGGCAATAATATTGAGATCGCGCACTGTGCCGAATCATCGAAGTAGGCGAATCATTGATCGGCAAAAATACAAATTATGTGTATGTATGTCTGTGAGTGTAGGTGGCACCATTCACGCATGTGTGGTATTTTGGGCATTCTTAGAAACATTACATTTTTTTTGCTTTAACAAAGAAATCAATAATTAGTATTGATTTAAAAGTAGCGATAGACTGTTAACTTCAAAGCAAAGAAACGCGCAAATATACTCTTCCGCAAACTTCTAAGCTGTACATTGTAATCTGCAGCATTTGCTGCTGCCGAAGGTGCTTGGCGACAAACGCTGCCTGGCAAATACATACATTCATAAACTAAATAGATTTACATATATATGTGTATGTATTTTTTTTTTTTTTTTTATTTTTTTTATAGTAGGGGGAAGCATCAAAAGCCGAAGTGCGGAACTTTAATCCGCTAAACCTAACCTACTCCCATCTTATATCTCTCCCACGGAACCACCGGATTAAGTATTACTTCATGGGATATGTGTATGTATTATGTTTGTATATATGTGTATAGATGTACGTATGAGTATGTATGCATGAAAATACTTTGTTCCCGCTCTTATTGCTAACGCTTTTTAAGCTGCTTTGCGTTAAGCATTTGGCGTTCACTATTGAATTTTGCAATTAACACATTGGCACTAATTGAAATAAATTATTATTTAATCCTACAACGGTGAGTTAGTTGAAGAGAAGTAATCACAAACGAGCAGCAAATGCTACACGATTTGATCGGCGTGCGTGATTTACTTTCGAATATTACTCTTCGAACAACAAGATTTTAGGTAAAATAATGAAACAATAAATTGATCGATAATCTTTGGTATTTACAATTTTATAGAAAAGTTCTGTGTGAGACTTTTGAAAAATATGATTATTTTACACTAACATTCATGCAAAAGGATGGCAAAAATGGTGCACTCACCATTTTCTGAATAAACATTTTGTTCTAAGTTACAGCTTTTTGCACAGTTTTGAAATTTTTTTCTTTTTTTTTACTTGTTTGCAAATTTTAACAGATCGCACTTCGTTCTACTAAAAATATTTTAATTAGCACTTTTCTCACTTATTCCATTAATTTATTTTCACTTTCGATAGTCCCTTTTAATGAGTTGTTTTCTCAGTGATAGCTTTTTTCTGCGCTGCGCCTTACAGAAACCTCGTTAACTCGCTCGTTCAATACGCGACGACAATGAGGCTTTGAATGATCTATAGTAGCCGACGGAGCTCTTATTTATAACCCTAAAAAATCTACGAAATATCTGCCAAACGCGCTTGAACAGCAGCCGAAGCGGCTACAACATATACAAACACAAATGATAAGTTACAAAATGACAAAAACGATGAAAGTGCGCATTTGCACATACTGATACTTGCTAAGCACCTGTATGTGTGTGTGTTAATGTAAATAAAGTGACTAGCTTCCCTGGCATCGAGCAAACGCACGTTTGCCGCGTTGTGTCTACGCGCACGCGTGCCCTTACTTGTGCGTATGAGCAACTTGGGATGAGTAGGCAACTCATTGTCACGATGCTCACGGCGAGTATCCCTTTAAGAATTTATCGTATTTAAAAGAGGTAAAAAGAAGTTTTTAGGATTCCTTAAATTTTAAAGCGAATTTTTGGGGTAAGTAAAACTTTGCAAATTTAATTTGCTGTTGCTATACCTAATTTGTTGTTGTATGCGCACCGATTACAATCGCCAGCGTTATAAACCATTTAATTGTGCACTCACAAAAACTTTTTTTCGCACTAATTGAGGCAGTTGCAAATACAATTACACACACACATATATACATAATTATCGTTGGATGCCTAAATTAACAATTAAAATTCATTGCACATGGCCACACATATGCAAATATGTACATTTAAATGGGCATATTAAAGTGATATACATGCATTTTTTTATGAGTTAAAAGAAAGTGTTCCAATTCTGTAGCGGTAGCGTCATATAGGATTTCATTAGGTTACAGGTTCTGCAACTGATTCCTCATACAATATCTCATACATTCTATTCTATCTCTTTGTGCAGCCAGCACTTGCCTAAATCCGGTACGTTCGTCGTTGGTGTTCCATTTATTCACAATATTGTCAAATTGTTTCAGATTGACACTGATTAATAGATTTTCTTGAAATGTGTTTACTTAGCACTGCGCGTACAACCTGTGATGACACTCAAACGAAAACAGTTCATAGTTACAGTTACATAATCTGCAGAGATTTCAATAACTTTAAGTACACTCTGGTATGACATTTGCTTTGTCAAAAATGTCAGACTTAAATAAATGTGATGCGAAGTGGGATTATATGGAGAAGCAGGCATGGTGAGATAGCGAATATCACCTAAAAGTGGGCGGTGTCATGACGTCCATTAAATGTTTAACCACATATATACATATGTATATAGACTTTATTATTATGATCAAACTTGTTTTGGTTCTGCTTTAAAACGTATTATAATTTGCTTAGTTTTCAGCAATACTGTTATGATTTTAATATATTATTTATAAAGTGGTGAACAGACAGAGATCCGGAAATCATTTCATTTTGATATTTATAATCTTAATTAATTAAGGTTCTACAAACAACTGTTAGTTGTATTAATTTATCCGACACGGAGGCGAAAAATCGGTGGCTATCTTCCCTCATCTAATACTTTAAATTCAATACTTTGGAACCATCTCAAAAATAGAAAAACATCTTTTAATACAGCTTGTATACACATTTTCCATTTATACAGATATTCAAAAGTTTTGTTATATTAAGTCAAAATTTAATCTTTCTTATTTCAATATATGGTAAAAAATATTTATATAATACAAGTAAAGCTTTTCCAGAGTGAAGTATTTAAATTAACCAAAAGTGTAAATATCCGAGTTTTAGTTTACCGATAAGATGAGTTAAAAAGTATTCGCTGTGATTTCACATACAGTACGCCCTCGCTAGAAGCAACGAAAAACGAGATAGTTCCATGAAAACAATATCCAATGTTTACATTTAGAAACTAAGTAACTGCGACTTTTCAAGAACTTTAATCAAAAGTTTAACACAAATTTCTTTCCGAAATTCATGGATAAATATGTGCGGTATGAACATATGGAATTAGCCTAAATTACAAAGCCGTTTTATAATTTTTGAACGACATTTCTGTAAGAGCCGTTTCCCATTTAAACACAACATGCTGAAAGATAATTACATTATTGAAGTTCTTGAAATTAAAAAATGCTGCAAAACAATTCAACATTCATCATTCGATGAAATCGTAAATACATTACAATCAAATTTGGTATTTATTAAATTATATTATAGGTCACAAACTCACTTAATTTTATTACTACATTCCACTTCGGCTTTATTGGGCTGATTGAGGTGATTTTGACATTGCTGAGGTATACTTGAGATCATATTTTCAGGTAATTTTATATAGGTTAGGGTTAGAAGGAAGATTAGGGTAAGTGTTTAACCAATTTGACTCATTTTGGGCAAACATATGCACCATTATAGGAAAAATACATTCACCTAATTTTATTAAGATATGTAGCTCATATTTTGGCACAATATTTGCGATATGAAGTAAACAGGCAGTTCGAAAATATTTAGATAAGGTTTATGGGGGCCAAGGGAAGTATTGACCCGATTCAATCCATATTTGACATACAGACTCTCTCCGAATTGCATTAATATATCTCACATATGTTATTTTCGGTAAATAGTTAGCACCAGACACTGTGGTCCACGTCTTCGATAACTGGGGGCTTAAACAGTAATTATCCGATTTTGACAATTTTTATACTTGAGTTGATATACCTCAAAAGCACTATTTGTGCAAATTTGTATACTGATAAAAATTATATGGAATTAAAAATTGTACTATATGGGAAGTAGGCGTGGTCCGATTTCGCTCATTTTCGCACGATAACTTGGACATGTAGTTTCGGGGGTATGTGATAAACCTAAATGTGGGCGGGCCCATCGTTCAATTTTGACATCGCCTACTATATAACCCTCTTGTACCATTCCGGATCTAAAATTTAATGTCTCTGATACATTTAGTTATTGATTTATCACCCTTTTAGTAGTTTTTAACAAAACCGTTATATGGGGAGTGCACGGGGTTATCATCCGATTTCACAGTATCGAAGGCAGAGTCAAAAATATTTATTCTGTGCGAGTTTGGTTCATATAGCTTGAATAGTTTAGGAGATATATACATTAAACTTATTAGGGTGCGGGGCCACGCTCACGTTTAATTAATTTTACCAACCATTGATACCCCTCTCCAATGCAAAACGTTGTACTGAATAACAGCCTTGTATCTTAATTTAGTGCTTAGCTATGGCACTTTATACATTTTTGATTAGTGGCGTTTTTTGGGCGTGCCAGTGGTCCGATCACGCCCATCTACAATACTAAACTTCTTTTGGTGCCAAGCAACATGTGCACCAAGTTTCACCGATATCTTAATTTTTACTCAAGTTACAGCTTGCACGGACGGACGGACAGAGAGACAGTCACCAGGATTTTAACTCGTCTCGTCATACTGATTATTTATACATACATAACCCTTTATCTATCTCGATTAGTTTTAGGTGATATATTCAACCGTTGGGTGAACAAAACAATTATTCTCGGTAGCAACATGTTGCAAGAGTATAAAAACGCTAACTTTGGCTGTACCGAAGCTATATCACCCCTTACATGAGCATATCTTATAACGGGTGTTTTTTGTTTAGAGGTATAAAACTTTATATTGCAGTAAAACAACGATTATTCGATTGACATGAATTTTATTTATCCGAAAGATAATCTTATGGCATTACATTTTAAATATAATTTTTGACAAATGACCGCCGCGGCTGGCTCGGATGTAGTCCAATCTGGACGTCCAATTTTCGATGACTTTTTCCCATATTAGTGGAGGTATATCGGCAATAACACGGCGAATGTTGTTTTCCAAATGGTAAAGCGTTTGTGGCAATGACTTTACATAACCCCACAGAAAGTAGTCTAGCGGTGCTAAATAACAAGATCTTGGAGGCCAATTCAAAGGGTTCAAAACGTGAAATTAGGCGGTCACCAAACGTGTATTTCAATAAATCGATTGTGGCACTTGAGGATTAGCTTCAGTTTTGTTTGTTGACGTAGCCATTCAACCAGAAGTGCGCTTCATCGCAACATACGATAAATGAACGTAGTGCGCGATATGTATTCCGCACAGACCCATTATTTTCGAAATAAAATTCCACTACTTGCATGGATTGTTTAGGCGTGACTCTATTCATGATAAATTGCCAAACCAAACTGAGAATGAATCAGACAGCTTGATTGATTGACAGCTGATAAATCGGTCGCCAACTTAAAATTCTATACCTCGAAAAAGAACACCCTTTAGCATACAAGGGTATAAAAAAATGTTGGTTTTGATTTTGATCGAGCAGTTTGTATGGCAGCTATATGGTATAGTGAACTGATTTCAACGATTTTTTTAGAAGATTCTAGAATTTTTTTATTTTCTAAAAATTGTCCACAAAATTGGTGTATTTTTGTAATTTTTTAACTGAGATCCATCAGCTTTTGAGTCATAGTCGTTTCCTGCTCACACATTATTGTTCTTAAAGTGAATTGACTCTGCCTCTGCAGCGTTTGTGTTCGGAACTCACGAAATCGCCATTGAGTCTATGTACCGATCACAGTCAAAGATATTTCCACTTTTTTCAGCTTTTATAGGCATACCATATATTTGTGTAAGTTGTTAGTGTATATATATAATCAATTAGTACAATTAAAAAATTAATATACAAAGTCTTACGCACTAAATAAACAAATGATAAAACAAAGTTATTTATTATTCCACAAAAGAAAAAGGAAAAAAATAAATAAGAGTTGTTTGACATAAGTCTTCTTAAGTAAAACATTACTTGTTAAGTTAGTTCGATTTCATGAAATGATTTATTTACTTTTTGTAGTATAAAAATAGAAATATATCTTTAAAAAACGGGCCTTGACTAATATCGTTTCTTGTTTGTTTGAATTTAAAAAAATAATTAAAAGCAAAAAATTGGAAAACATGTTTGAAAAAGTAAATTTTGTTAATCTCTCCCTGTGTTTACACTTTCTTATTCTAGGCGAAATTTTTTCATTGAAATGTGTCATTGCACCAGGTATCTCGATACAATATCAGCATATATGATATAATAAATCTTGCCAAACC